AGAGAGCCAGGCTCTGGGCACCATCTTTGCCCATCTGTCGGGTGGCTCTTCTCTTTGGGTAACTCTCCCAAGACTCATATCCATCTCCTGGGGGCCACCTGGGGCTGCCACCCCCACCCTCACCCCCAGGCTAGGTGCTCCATAGACCTGGTCCTATGGAATTGTCTGTTAATAGATCCTGGATCCTAAAACTCCACCTACAGCCACAGCATCGATTCTGACTCCCAGCAAGCCCATAGGACAGAGCAGAGCTGCTCCAAAGGGTTTGTTTGCAAGGTTGTCATGTTCACAGGAACTGACTACCCGCCTCTTTCTCTCAAGGAGCCGTCTGTCTGGTGGGTTTGAACCATTAGCCTTCTAGTTAGCTGCCCAGGGTGGTAAAGCACTGGGCCACTGGGTCTCCTCTTTGTGACTCATTAATAACTCTATATGACCGAGTCCCACTGCCCGCCCTGCCCCCATCAGATTTCCCAGGCTGTAGTCTCTACAGAAACAGCCTCATCGTTCAACCAAGGAGCTGGTTAGTGGACTTGAACCTACCACCTTTCCGTTAGCAGCCTAGGGCTTGAACCACTGCACCACCAGGTTGACTGTCCTGGCCCAGAAGCCCCGAGATAGCTGCCCCAAAAGGCTTTTTCGAGGTCACCATCATGACCAAGCAGGTCTCTTCTCCCGCCGAGCAGCTGGTGGGTTTGGGTCACGGAACTTTCTGTTAGCAGCCAAGTGCTTACTTAGCCAGTGCTCCACCGGGGCTCCTTTCCCTATGAGGTAGGTGCACACTCATCGCCCCACAGTCTCACAGCCACAGCAGCAGCAAAGCAAGACTCGGGGACAGAAGGGTCCTGTCCCAAGACACTCAAAGGGCCTGAGCCAGGATCCAAGTCCATTTCAACCCCATGGTCTTTTGAAAGGCAACTCTCTTTTTCTTTCTTTCATTTTGAATCAAATGAGAGTGCAGTAGACTCCCGGGGTAGTGTACATGGTCAACACCGTCGGCTGCTAACCAAGAAGGTGTAGGTATGAGTCATGTCCCACTCAGTGGCACCCCACGTGACAGAGCAGGACTGCCCCAGAGGGACAGCGGTTCTCAACCTGTGGGTCTCAACCCCTTTGGGGGTCGAACGACCCTTTCTCAGGGGTCGCCCAATTCATCGCAGTAGCAAAATGACAGTGATGAAGTAGCAATGAAGATAATGTTATGGTTGGGGGTCACCACCACATGAGGAGCTGTCTGAAAAGTTGAGAACCACTGTTCTATAGGGTTGCTTCAAGTCAGGAGGGACTGTGGCAGTGAGTGGCTTTGGTTTTCATCTTTCCCGGAGCAGACCGTTTGACCGTTTGGACTGGGCTGGTCAAAACTGACAACCTTGTCATCAGCAGCTCTCATTTGCTGCCATGGAATGAATTTCGACTCCTAGTGACCCTACAGGACAGGGTAGAACTGCCCCTGTGGGGTTCTGAGGCTGTAACTCCTTCAGGGGAGTAGAAAGCCTCCTCTTTCTTCCTTGGAGCAGATGGTGGTTTCGAACCGCTGACTTCAAGGTTAGCAGCCCAATGAATAACCCTCTAGGCCACCAGAGCTCCTGCAGCTGAGCTACGGTTAACGTATATAAGTGCCCAATGAGAGCAGTGCATACTGCTCTGGCTTCCTTGCTGGGGAATCTGAGGTCGGTGACTTAGACAAGATAATACAGTCGGGAAGATCATGTAGCTGCAATTGGTCCCTCTCTGTCCTTCTGTCTCCTGCTGGCCACCCCAACACCGAGCACATTGCCTGGTGCACCAGATACTTAGCCATGGACTTGTACTGCGTGTTGGGCACAGCGCTAGGTCCTGAGGGTGCGGCATGTTCTTCTTGCAATTTTCAGCCAAGGTGGGGGGCAGTAGACAGGGAACTTTAAAAGGACTGTGTCTAAACAAATAAAAGGAGAAGGGAGGAATCGTCATTCACAAGTAGATCAAGCAGATAAGCAGGGGAAATGACTTCCGTTAACTAAACAGAGAAATGAATAAAACTATCAATAGGAGGGAATGTGAAAGGGAATGGTTGAGGGTCAGAAAGGGACGATGGATCAGATGGCCAGGAAAGGTCTCTCTGAAGAGGTGACATTTGGGTTGAGTTCTCAGACATGCACTCTCTAGATTGGGCACCATTGTCCAGTAGAACTTTCTGCTGTGAAGGGAAGTGGTCTATATCCACCTTGTCCAGCATGGTAGCCACTGACCGCATGGGGGCCACAGAGTTTTTGAAAAGTAGGTGGTGCAAAGGATGGACTAAATTTTAAACTTGATTTCACTTTAATGAATGCAAGTTTGAATAGCCACATGTGGCTGGCGACACCATATTGGACCGCACAAGGTCTAGAGAAAGAACATTCCAGGGTGAGGGAACAGTGGGTACCACGATTCTGAGGTTTGGTGTGTCTAAAGATGAGGTCTATGTAGCTAGAACAGATTGAATGAAGGGGACAGAGGGAGGGGAGAAGCTGGCAGCATCCAGAGAATGACTAGTCTTACAACCCTTCAGAAGGCTCTGGGTTTCACTTGAAAGGATGTCCCTCTCCCTCTCTATCTGTCTATCTCTCCCATCAAGTCAAGGGCTCATAACGACACCCCCTGTGGGTTTCCAAGACTGTGAGTGTTTATGGTAGTAGAAAGCCCAGTCTTTCTCCCAAGGAGCTGCTGGTGGTTTTGAACTGCCAAACATGCCAAGAGCAGCACAGTGTGTGACCGTGGGGCCACCAGAGCCCCTTAAAGGAAGCCACAGCAGGGTGTTAAACCTAGGAGTGACATGGCCTGGCTTTCCTTGTTCAGAGACCCACCCAGTTGCTTTGAGAACTGTGGGTTGGAGGAGTACGTAAGTGATCACTCCAGGTCTCGAGGGTGTAAATGATTAATGCCCTTGGCTGCTAACCAGATGGTTTGCTTCAGTCCACTTAGGGTGCCCTTGGAAGAAAGCTTGGGGATCTCCTTCTGAGAAAAAAACAGCCATTGGAAACCCTGTGGAACACAGCTCTTCCCTCACATGCCTGGGGTCGCCATGAGCTGGGATTGGCTCACCGCGGTTGGTTTGGTAGGCATTTGATAGGATCGTCTTTGGCAGGGTTGAGCTGAATAATGGCAGGCCAACTGGAGAAAACTGAATGGATCGTGGGTGTTTGTGGGATAATGTGAACCGGGCTCGCTGGTTATGCTTTCTGAAGAAACTAGAAGAAGAAAGGATAGCTCCTAAGAGGAGTTGAGCACAAGACCGTGGAAGGCGCAGTTTGGGTCGAGAAAACCAAGTCGGGGATACAAAGTTGGAGATGCAGGAGAAACATTCAAGTTGATCATGTAGACCTTTGGCCTTTAAAGGAAGAGCTTAGGGCTGGAGATGTGAACTTGGAAGCCGTTAGCTTACGGACAGCATGGAACATCGTAGACGCACTGGGCAGAGACAGACGTTGAAAGGCGGGGTGCCTGGATGAATGAAGAGATGGATGGATGTGGATCAATGGGTGAACAGGAGATGGTAGTTGAAGAATCAGCCATTGAAACCCATATGGAGCATTGTCCTACTCTGATACTCGTGGGCTCACCATGAGTTGGAATGGACTCTCCTTGGCAACCGGTTCCATAGTGTAGTCATTCAGAGTGGAAAAGATGGAAACTTTGGAGCAGGGTGAGGGCAGGCATATGGTTGCTGGGATGTGGACTGAGAGATTTGAGTAGATGAGTTAAGGGATACTGGTTGGGTGTTTGCATATAGAGTTGATGGTGGGTGGGTGAATAGATGGATGGGAGGGCAGATGGACAGATGGATGCTTGGATGGTTGAAAGGGTTGGATAGGTGAATGGATGGATGGAAGGGTTTCGGAAAGGGCGGATGTGTAGGTGGGTGAATGGATGGATGGTTAGGTGAGTAGATGGATAGGTGGGTGAGTGGATGGGTGGATGGATAGGTGAGTGGATGGATGGGTGGATGGATGGATGGATGGATGGATGGATGGATGGATGGATGGATGGATGGATAGGTGGGTGAATTGAGAGATGAACTGGGTGGATATTATTAAGGTCACTATGTAAGCCATCTCCACTTCTGCCTCCTGAAATCCATTCCTCCATGCATAAATGATAAAGAAAATTCAAGTGAGGAAAGTGAAGTGTTTTAGTCTGGGTACTTTAGATAAAAAAAATCCACAGAAACTCATGTATAAGGGAGAGTTTTATATAAAGGTTAAGTGCGCATCAAGAAAACATCCCAGCCTAGTGCTGCCCAAGCCCACACGTCCAACATTAACCCATTAACTCATATGTCCAACACCAATCCACAAAGTCCTCCTCCATCTCACAAAACAGACGCAATAATGCCGACTACAGGAGGAAAGCCGAGTCAGTGAATGTGGAAATATCGCAGCGCTGGCACGGGTCTCCACACGGCTGCTCCAGCACCTAGGGCTGCATCCGGGTAGGTCCATGTGGCTTCTCAGGACATGTCCTGCAGGAAGTGAGCCTTGCAAGCTAAAGCAGGGAACTGGCTAAGGCAACTGGACCCTGGTCCGAACATCAGAAAGCAAGAGACCCAAGAACTCAAAAGGCAAGGCCCACTGAGCCATTTATCCCTCCCCTCTTCAATTAACCCCACATGTGTTTATCAGCCAGGTTGGAACAATAAACTAGCTACCTCATCAGGCTTTGGCTTTCTTGGAAGAAGCATTCTCATTTCCTGAACTCTTATCTGAAACCCCATGGAAGATTTTGGCATTTGTGCAGAGGAGGTGACTGGCTGCTAGCTTGCTTTGACTCATCTCCGTTGGATGAAAAATGGCACGCTCACCCACACACACACACACACACACACACACACACACACTCTCTCTCTCTCTCTCTCTCTCTCTCTCTCTCTCTCTCTCTCTCTAAGAGCACAACATGAGTCCTTAATTCATGGTCACCCAGAGCAAAATTCTGACCATTTCCCCATGCCCAGGAACCACAGCTCGGGGCTTCCTCCTCTTCCTTAGATAATTTATCCTACCACTCTCTCTCCCCTACCAGGCATCGCTCAGGAATACCCCAAGATTCTGAATGGCACCAATGGACCCAATGGCTTTCTCCCAGGGGGCTACACCTGCTTCCCCCACTCTCAGCCCTGGCAGGTGGCCCTACTAGTGAGAGGGCGGCTGCTCTGTGGGGGAGTCCTCATTCACCCCAAGTGGGTCATCACTGCTGCACATTGTCTGAAGAAGTATGTGGGGAACGGGGTGGGTGGGATGGGGTGGAGGATAGGATACAGATGACGATGGGGCTAGAGTGGTGGGTGGGAGGGGAGTTGGAGTTCAAGGTAGGTTGGGGGGCTAGGGTTGAGGGAGATCTTGTGGGGAGAACTGTTTGATCTGGAGACTGGGTGGTAGGTGGTGTGGTAGTGGAGATGAAGTTGGGAGGTTTGGGGCATGGGAGTTGGGGAGTGAGGGAAGAGATGAGTTGGATGTTTGGAGATGAGAGAGTGGGATGTGTCAGAGTTAGTTTGGGGATTGGGAAGAGGCTGAGGGGCAAGACTAGGGAGGGCATGGAGAAGGTCCGTCTGCTTCCTTCACCATGCTTTCCTTCACCTGCAGGGGGTACACAGTTTACCTGGGCAAGCATGCCCTGGGGCGTGTGGAGCATGGAGAGCAGGTGAGGGCGGTAGTTCGCTCTATCCCCCACCCCGAATACCAGAGCAGCCCCACCCACCTGAACCATAACCATGACATCATGCTTCTGGAGCTACAGTCCCCGGTCCAGCTCACTAACCGCATCCGCATCCTGCCTCTCTCCCACAACAACTGCCTACCCCAGGGAACCTGCTGCCGGGTATCTGGTTGGGGCACTACCAGCAGCCCCCAGGGTATGATTCCACACAGACTGACTTGAAGGCTCGCAGAAATGATGGTAGTAGAGGGCGAGGCGGGACGGGGGCTGAGCAGGGAGGGAAGGTGGAGGAGGAGAGGGCTCCCTGTTATGTCCCCTGGCATGTCCACAGCCTCCCTCAGCTTCTCTCCTGGTCTTGTGTCCATCTCTCTCTCCTCAACATGCCCAGCTCTCTTCCCAATACTCTCCCATCTTTCCCCATCTTTCTCGTGTTTTGCATCTCTTGATTTTCTGCTTGCCTCGCGATCCATCCTCCTACATCATCCCAACTCCCTCTCTCCCACACTCTTCCCCCATCTCTCTTCCTATCTCTCTTCCTGCACCATCTTTCTCTCCACCAGTCTCCCCGTCTCTCTCTTCCCCACCTCCCCAGATTTTTTACTATCTCTGCTTTCCACCAAGACCCTGCCCATAGAACTCCCCTAACCCCAATCGTCTGTCCAGAGCAGACAGCCTGAAACAGTCCTCTCTTTCTACCTCAGTGAATTACCCCAAAACCTTACAATGCGCTAATATCCAACTGCGCTCGGATGAGGAGTGCCGTCAAGTCTACCCTGGGAAGATCACAGCCAACATGGTGTGTGCTGGCACACCAGAGGGCGGCAAGGACTCCTGTGAGGTGAGCCCTTGGCTTGGTGGGTTGCTCTGGGCGAGGGTGGGAAGCTAGACTGGAGTTAGGGGTTGGTAGATGTTTGGGTGGTATGGGGAGCAGAAAGGGACTGTTCCCCGTTCTTCAGAGAATTAGTTTCTGTAACATGAGATAAATGGAATATGTTGGGTGGAACATACAAGTCTCCCCCCACCCCACTGCAAACCATTTTATCGGGAGCTAATACAGAGAACATATCATTCCATAGTTCCAGCACATCAAG